TATAAATTAAGTCAGAGTAAGAAAAAAACTGTATCATTTCACTTTTATGTGGAATCTAAAAAACTAAACAATGGAACAATCAAAACAAATAGACTCATAGATACAGAGTACAAACTGATAGTTGCCAGAGGGCTAGGTGATGGGAATGGGCAAAAAGGTGAAGGGGGTTAAGAGGTAGAAACTTATAATTGTAACAAATAAGTCACAGGAATGTCATGTACAGCCTAGGAAACACAGTCAGTAATATAGCAATAACTTTGTAGAATATTAGATGGTTAACTGACTTCTCATGGTGATCACTTTGTAATGTATACAATAAATGTCAAATCACTATGTTGTATACCTTAAACTAATATAATATTGTACTGTATGCCAACTATAATTTTAAAAAACTTCACATTCCAGAATAAAAAAAAATAATTTCTTTTAAAAACTACTTTTTCTAGATACAAGAAAAAGTTTATATTAAGAGACATTAGTTTATAAATCTAATTATATGTCAGTCACCTAATAAAATTACTGTACCAAACAGGCCACTATAATATAGAAACAGAAGAAATGACAATTTTAAACATTTAATCTCAACCTGTATTCTTCAATTAGAAAATAAGTTCCTGTTAAAGGTTAGTTTCAAAGAATCACTGTCTTGCCAAGCTGGTGTGGCTCAGTAGATTAAGCGTCACCCCATGGACTGAGCAGTCCTGGTTCAATTCCTGGTCAGGGCAAGTGCCCAGGTTTCATCTTGATCCCCAGCAGGAGGCATGCAGGAGCCCAGCCTATCAATGTTTCTCTTTCACATCGATGTTTCTATCTCTCTCTCCCTTCCTCTCTCTCTAAAAAAATCAATAAAATATATATTTTTTAAAAAAGAGCACTATCTTGGCATTATCAATAATCACTGTTTTCTAATCAAGTCTTCGAAAGGCTTTTCTCATTCATAAATAACAAATATTTAGGAGTATGAAATATTTCAGACAGAGAAAGAGTAACATAAAAACACCCATGTTTCCATGAGCCACTTAAGCAAGCAAACATCAAGTTTTGTGATAGATTCCTTTGTTATTGTGTGTATAGAATTAGAAGATCCCACAGATCTATCTTCCAGAGTTATTTCCATTGTTGTGACCTTTGAGTTCTGACATCCCAAACTTTTACTTGCTCTTCACTAATTACAAACTGGAGGCAGGCTTATGACCATTACTTAGCAAGTATGATCCGCCCGTTACCTGCCTTTTAAATCTTGCTCTGTTGGATGATGGTCAGCATGTAGATTAATAAAGAGTCCTGTTATCTTCAATATTATTAATACTTCATGTAATCAAGGTGAGTTTTCACCTTATTTAGAATTAGCCAGCCCTGGCCGGTTTGGCTCAGCGGTTGGAGCGTCGGCCTGTGGTCTGGAGAGACCCGGGTTCGGTTCCCGCTAGGGGCATGTACCTTGGTTGCAATTTGTCCCTGGCTCCGGTTGGTCATGCGGCTGGCAGCCACTCGATATGTCCCTTTCACGTCAATGTTTCTCTCTCTCTCTCTCTCTCTTCCTCTCTCTCCCTCCCACTCCATCTGAACAGAAAATGGAAAAATGTCCTCAGGTGAGGATGGAAAAAAATAAATAAATAAATAAATAAATAAATAAGAGAATTAGCCAGCCATGACTTGGTCCATTCTCTTAACTCCTGAGGTTCAAATGAAGAACGATGGCTAGTAAATACACACGCTGGAGAAAGGAGGGCCTTTTTGGATAATCTCCCAGGGCTGACTTAACATTAAAATGCAAATCAGACTTTGTATTATTAAGTGTCCCTGAATGATGAGAAAGCCTGACTGGATTTCAGATGTGCACATGCATCACTGTCACAGCATCTTGTTGACTCCGGTACAACAGACCTGAGTTAAAAATCACACCTCTGGCCCTGGCCAGTTTGGCTCCGTGGTTAGAGCGTCGGTCCGTGGACAGGGGACTCCCGGGTTCGATTCCCACTAAGGGCATGTACCTCAGTTGCAGTTCGTCCCTGGCCCCGGCTGGGGTTGGGCGGGTGGCAACCACTTGATGTGTCTCTCTCAGGTCGATGTTTCTCTCTCTTTCTCTTCCTCCCTCTCTCCTCTCACTCTATCTGAAGACAAATGCAAAAAAAAAAATAAAAATCCTCAGGTGTGGATTAAAAAAAAGAAAAATCACACCTCTGCTACTCACCAGCTGTGAAAGGAATCAAGAGTATCAAGCCCCTTCCCTAAGCCTCAGTTCCCTCCACCTAAATTGGAGATAGTAATTCTATCACCTGCCTCTTAACAGTTCTATTGATTAAACAAAACAATCCAAGGAAAAGTGCTTAGTTCAGGGCTTGGCACAAAGAAAGCATTCAGTATGTGTTACCATGGTCATCACCAACATCAGTGTTGTGAGACAGCAGGAAATGGAGCTCGGAAAATAGGTCAGAGAACTGAGATGGCAATTTAGAGAATGTCAGACAGGCCTGGACAGCAGCTGAGAGGCTGGGCATTTGAAGCTGAAACTTGGATTGATGAGGACTATGATCTCTCTTCTCCATTTTAATTTTAACTAGAAACAGAAGATACTGCACTAACAGCATCAAAGAAGATAAAGAAAGAGGGTACAAGGATCTGAAATGCTTTGTATTTCTTTCACTGTGGATACTTCTACTTTCTGCTATGCGACTGCACAATGTCCAGAACAGAGGCTTTCAACCTTCACATTCAGTAGAAGATGGGAGATGGGGGAAGGGAGAGAGGGCATGAGGAAATCTGCTTGTTAAAATGAGTGTCCAAGTGAGCCTCGTGCTCACTGGCTCACCCACATTTTGGGAAACAATGATCTGGAATGTACTGAATATAAAACCTCTAGGTGATCTTCCTTATTCCCAACTAGTAAGGCTGTTATCACACCTTTGTTTAGTAGACTGAAATTCTATGTAACTGAGATTTAAAAAGGGGATCTGGCTTACTTTCAAGAAACTTGGCAACCAAAATACTTAAACCTGAAACGTATTAAACCACAACATCTCAACGGTGGCAGAGAATACCCAGGTCTCCTGCATTAGCATCCACATGACTGACCCCCACCTATAGCTGTATCCCCACTTCACACTCACTCACTGCTTGAACGACGTCACCAAAAACAAGGTTCTCACTCTTGCTTATGGAGGTCCATTCTTTCTTCAGGCAGCTCAACCTGTTCAATATTCTTTCTAGTATTGAATAGAAATCTGTCTGCCCTTGACTTCCAGCTGGTTGATCCTACATCTAATTCACAGGGCTATAGAGCAAGTCCCCACACCAGCCATTAGAATATTTGAAGATAGTTGCTATGATCCTATGTGCTATCTTCTCATTATCCACACTCAAGAACAAAGAAAGATGAAAAAGAAAACTTGCAACCAAAAAACACAAAATAGTTGAATATTACTCAACCTTTATCAAACACCCACATATACTAATCAACTTGAAAGGTCTAGGTTGTACTCCTATGTTGTTTGCCTAAATCAATAAGCCTGAGATGGTTTATCTTGATTTTTGAAAACACTACTAGCACTACAGGATGATAATAATAACAACTCAATCTGTTAATTATTCCAGAAAAACTCCAAAATATTGGTAAAATTTAATTTTAATGGGAATGAATTCATAGTTTGATTTTAACACAAATTCCACAGTCTTTAATATGAACTTTGAACTGTGGAGCCACAACAAAAAGATAAAAGAATTCAGTTGGTGGGAAACTGCTCACATAGAAAGAGCATAGAGAGACACTTCGATTGGTGGTTTCCCACACTACCCTAACCAGGGCTGGGGATCGAACCTGCAACTCAGGGACCTTGACTATAATTGAACCTAAGACTCCCTTGGTCTGCAGGCTGCTGCACTAACTGCTGAGCCAAACCGCCCAGGGCAATAGCAGCACCTTTTAGACCAGTTATTATAATGCCGCTGAAACTTGGCTATGTGTAAAATTATATCCCGAAATGTTCTACCTACTTGATATTGTTATACTCATCATTTGCACATATCTACTCCAGCCCTGATCACACAGTATTCTAACAGTGGATTTTATCTGTTTCTATGTAATAACGAGCACCTTGAAGGAAGAGATTCCATCTTATTAACCCTGTATCTCCCATTGTTTAGCAGTGTTGGAACATAGGAATAAGTATGTGCTGAATGAATGAAAATATTCTTTCTTTAAGAAAAAACAAATTAAACATTTCACGTTAGTTTTAGAGAAAAAAGACAGATTGTATTTAAACAGATATATTAAAGTAGTCACTCATTTACCTATAGATTTCTAATTATCAGAATACTTTTGAAATACATGTACTAAAAATAAACAAACCCTGCTGATGGTAGAAAATGTATCCATAAGAGGGCACCATTGAGCTGCATTTCTCCAATCATATGTAAAGAGCAAAAATAGCTAACAAGTGTTTACTATGTGCCAAGCACTGTTCTAAATGCTTTGAATGTATAAACTAATTTAACGCTCCCAACCTAGGAGGCGGGCATGGTGGCTATTCCATTTAACTATGAGGAAATTGGGACACAAGCAGTTAAGTCACTTGTCTGAGGTTACACAGCCAACGGGCAGTGGAACTAGGATGCAAGTTGGACAATGTGGCTCTAAAATCTGCTCTTTCAGTCACTACATGATTCCGTCATCTAGTGTTACTCATTATTCTTGTATGGATGGCCATTACATCAGTTAAAGTCAAACCAAAAACATTGCTTCATCATTATATTTGAAAACCAATTATAAACATGTATAAAACAGTTACGGACCTCTACCTATAATGGGATAGAGTTTATTTCACAAGGTAGTAAACACTATAATGCTAAAATTAAATTTAACAAAATGCAATGTAAAAAAGTGGACATAAAAAAATAGGCAGAATTACATATTTTTCGTAAAATTAGACATTAGCATTTAACAAACAAATGGATAATATTGCCATGAGACAGACATTAACTCCCATTACAAAAGCAACTGTTACCTCCCAATGTGACATTTCCATGTAGAAATCGTCCTTGATAAATAAGTCGTAGAATATTTGGGCTGCTGACTTGCTCTTCTTCCCAGTCTGAAAAGAACCAGTGAACTTGTTAGGTGTATCTCAACACAAAATCAGAGTATCACTCACTGGTCTGAACTCCTGACGGAAACCAGATAGACTACCTCAAGAAAGACCCTGGAGCTTCCCCTTAAGTAAACAGGCCCCACCCACCTAATCATTGTGGTCTCGGTTCTCACTAGTTCTCCATAAATACTAAGAGTCACGGAAAGACTGGTTATTTTTATTATTTTTAATATTAAAATTATTTTTCTTAATCCTCTTCCAAGAATATTTTTCCATTGATTTTTAGATAGAGTGGAGGGGAGGGAGGAAGAGAGAGAGAGAAACACTGACATGAGAGACACATCGATCGGTTGCCTTCCACAAGGCCCTGGGATCAAACCTGTAATCCTTTGGTCCTTGGGCCCAAGCTCTAACTACAGAGCCAAACCAGCCAGGGCTAGTTTTTGCTTTTTTTTTAATTGATTTTTTACAGAGAGAGGAAAGGAGAGATAGAAACATTGATGTGAGAGTGACACCAATCGGCTGCCTCCCACACACCCCGCTCTGGGGATGGAGCCTGCAACACAGGCATGTGCCCTGACTGGGAACCAAATCGGGACCTCTCAGTCCAAGGGGTGACATTCAATCCACTGAGCCACACCAGCCGGGTGCTAGTTTTTGCTTTTTAAGAACATTAATAGGTGCCAAAACAGTCTTGAAGTTTAAAATAACAACAACAACAACAACAAATCAATCTGCAAAAAATCTAATGCTAGGTAAAGAGAAATGTCATTTGAAAATTAATTTCAATTACCAGTGATTAACACAGAATATTACAATAATCCAATATTTGTACCTGTTAAAATATATATTTGAGGCTAGAAAATATGTTTCATAAAGATTTTGAAAAGAATTAATATATTGCTATAGAGAATAACAAAAATATATATATACCTCAATAGAACTGGAGAACAAAAAGTTTAAAAAGAGAGTAACAAAAAAAAAATCTGTGTTTATTTTTGGACAATGGTGACTTGTTATTTTATTGTCTTTTCAAAAAATATATTTTTTGCCCTGGCCAGTTTGGCTCAGCGGTTAGAGTGTCGGCCTGCGGTCCAGAGAGACCCGGGTTCGGTTCCCGTTAAGGTCACATACCTCGGTTGCAGTTTGTCCCTGGCCCTGGTTGGGCCCTGTGGGAGGCAGCCAACTTAATGTGTCCCTTTCACATCGATGTTTCTCTCTCTCTCCTTCCCATTCTATCTGAACAAAAAATGGAAAAATGTCCTCAGGTGAGGATAAAAAAATATATATACATATATATATACACATACACACGCACACATACATATATATATATGTATATATATAACATATATATTTTTAGAGAGAGAGGAAGGGAGAGGGAGAGAAAGAAACATCGATGAGAAAGATACATCCATCAGCCACTTCCTGCATGTCCCCCCAGTGGGGATTGAGCCCGAAACCCGATCATGTGCCCTGACCAGGAATCGAACTGGCGACCTCTTGGTCCATGGATAAATGCTCAACCACTGAGACACACTGCTGGACTTTACTTTTGAAGCCATTTGGTCAACATTACAGAAGGCACAACTTTATTTTTTTTTAAATATGTTTTTATTGATTTTAGAGAGAGAGGAGGGAAAGGGAGAGAGAGAGAGAAACATCGACGAGAGAGAAACACACTGGTTGCCTCCTGTACAACTCAGACTAGGGCTGGGGATTGAACCTGCAACCCAGGTATGAGCCCTTGTCCAGAACTGAACCCTCATCCCTTTGGTCTGCGGGCCAATGCTCTAACTGCTGAGCCAAATTGGCTAGGGGCCAGAAGACATAACTTTAATTCATTTTACCCAAAATACTCAGAAGAAACTTGAAAAAAGTACACACACAAAAATCAAACACCATATATTAGAAGGTACTATGGAAGCTAGGACAGTGCACAAAGAAAATCAAAAGACAAACTGGATGAGTATCAGTTAATTTTAGCGTGTAACTTATGAAACACTGCTCTGTTAAAATAATGGTGTAAGGACACTGGCATGTGATAGGGTATGAGGTTAATAATTTTTATTAGCTTGTGGATATAATAATTTAAGCTCTGACTCTGATAGAGGTTCGAGAATTCCATCATCATCTTTCTCAACAATTCTCAACAAATATTATGCGTTTGTTTTATAGAAGCTCCTACTGTAAGATAATAACTGCCAACACAAAATCTAGTTTAAAATATCCCGAATAGGAAGTGACAGAAGAGAAAGGGGGTAAGTAGAGGACTTTCCTTTTGCCTTTTTCATGTGTGTTCAAAAAATGAATAGGAATTTGATAAAATCAGCACAACAAAAGTGGGTCGTGGAAAAATGAATCTGTCACTTCTCCCTCCCCCCTCCTCCTCCCCCAGGTTCCTTTCCTCCCTCCTTCCTCCTCCCCCAGGTTCCTCCTGCCTTTTCTCCTGTTCCTTCTTCCCTCCCTCTGGCACACCTTTATTCCTTCTGACGCTAGAGCCCCCAGAACCCTCCTCTAAAAGAAAGGTCAAATAAGCCTCAAACATTTTTGAATGGATTACTTTGAGTCCACTACATCCAAAATTATGGTTTATTAATATTTCTGGTCAAGATGGAAGTGTTTCATAGATATAAAGACAAATGACAGTAATTGTCTAATTCACAGGAAAAATATTCTAAAAATATTTAAAAATATTATTTTGAGCTGCAGAAACTTGAAGCCACCTTGTTCATTATCTTGTACAGTGTCTTTATTTCCATGCATGCCACTGGTTTAATATGCTAACTCCCCTTCCCTCTCAGAGGATCTGAAATTTAGAGACATGCAGAATGACAATGCTTCAAGGAGCAATTTCAGCTACCAGTAACACATATATAGTGAATTATATTTTGGCCTTCTGACACAGTAACAGCTGTGTGTGCCACTATTCCAACTATTAGCAATATTCCACTAAACTGTGTAAGATTAAACAAGAAAATCCAGTTCCTTCCAAAAATATATTGTCCAAAGTATTTTGTTTGACTGATTTAATATTTACTACACTTTTATTATTAGTACCAATAAATATTTACATTTTCTGACCTTTGGTACATTGTGATACAATGTAGAAATAGGTTTTCTAACTTAAATATTTTATATAAAACTTTATTTTTATTACCAGCATTTTCTAAAATTGCTGAGCACAAATAGCAAACTGAAGAAAGACTAGGTTCAAAAACTTTTTTGCCCTGGCTGGTGTGGCTCAGTAGGTTGGAGCATTGTCCTGTGCACTGAGTGGTTGCTGGTTCGAGTCCCAGTCAGGGCACATGCCAGGGTTTTGGCCTTAATCCTGGGTAAGGAGCATGCAGGAGGCAGCCGATAGATATTTAGCGCTCACAAAGATGTTTCTCTCTCTCTCCCTGTCTCTAAAAATCAGTAATAATAATAATAAAAACAATCTTTAAAAACATTTTTTTGTGGAAATAAATACCATAGTATTTCCAATCAATTTCCAATGCTGGTAGATGGTTCATTCATTTGGAGAACTATTTATGGCAAGACCTGCACCTGGATCTTACCTTTGTTTACCATTAATAATTGAGAGGGATTACCCATTTTTTTTCTTGTGTAATATTTTCTATAATATCCATAGATGTCAAAAGCTATCTACATCCTCCTTTCCATCCAAACAAAAGTAATGTTATGTCATACTTAGTAAAACATCATTATTAGACAGGAATTTGTGGATTGGCTCAGGGGTTGAATTGTCGGCCCACGGACCAGAGAGTCCCAGGTTCAGTTCCCACTAGGGGCACGTACCTCGGTTGCAGTTTGTCCCTGGCCCCGGTTGGGTCGTGTGAGTGGCAGCCACTCGATATGTCTCTCTCATGTTGATGTTTCTCTCTCTCTCTTCCTCTCTCTATCCCCCCTACTCTATCTGAAGATAATTGCAAAAATGTCCTTGGTAAGAATTTAAAAAATGCTTTTCATACTGATAGCTCTGTCTCCTGCCTGGCTGTGAAGAGAAATTCCAATATTCTACGAGCCCCACGCTTGGCTCACTTCAGCTTTTCTGAAATTCCTTCCTACCTTTAGCTTCAGGAGCTCCCTAAGTCGGGTCTAACATTGACTAGACCCTTGGTTACCAATGGGAAGAAAGATCTAGTTATTTGAAAGTGTTTGTCTCAATCAGTGTTTCTTTTTTTTTTTTGGTATGTGTCCCTAGAGGGAACCAAACCCAGGACTCTGGTCCGCAGGCCAATGCTCCAACTGCTGAGCCAAACCGGCCAGGGCTCAATCAGTATTTCTTAAACTCAGATCTATGAATTCAAAAAAACATGTTCTTAGGGTCTGAAAGTCCTGTTCAATAATTTTTAAATTGTGTTTTCATTTTAATGATAATCTGGAAGAGATTATCTAGATAATTAAAATAATCACTTTATAACCAAGTACAGCCTTGAGATTTTAATGGCCATGTGTTTGTTTAAGTTTATGATTGAACTGGCACCAAGCAGGACTTCTTTAATTGTCAAGAGGCTAACAAGGAAAGAACAGAGGTTGGCTGAATACATAAACAATTCATTGTTGCTGAGTAAAGGCTGACTGACATTTGGCCCACTGTGTGAATGAAGGTTTTGTGGTAACTGGGTCTTCATACAGCAAGCAAGCAAGAACACACTCATGCCAACTCAATAGTACCATATTTATGACTCAAGCCGTTAAGTTGGTTTTAGTAAAAATAGATCATCGGACACATTAATGTTGTTAATTTGAACATTACTGGTTTTAGAGTTATGTTTGCATTTTCCTTGTGAACCTGTTTTAGTTTTATGGCTGTACATGAGTTAATAAGGATAAAAAATTTTAACTGGGTTGATGTTCCTTTAGAAATAAACATTGTGATAAAAATAATTTAAGTCAGCACTAGGGAATCTATAAGAATTCTCTTCTTCTAAAAGAGTTCCATATATTATTTAAGGCTAATTTAATTGATTTATTTTGTATACACTGTGTTCTCTTTGTTGAAACAAGTCTTGTCCTTTAAAAGTCCAAACTGCTTTGGCTAGTAAAATTAAGTGAAATCAGCTGAAACAGTCATATCATTATGGTATGTGCCATAAAAGGTCAAGAGGACATGAGGAAAGTTCAAAGGGTGAACATAAACTAAAGACTCACTTTAGGACGGCAAGATGGAGTCTTATAACACAGAAAAGAACCAGAGAAAGGAAGGAATGACACCTCAATTTTGGTATCATGGATGCAAAGCACAAATGGATATTATACCTTCTTGACCTTGTAGTAGTAGTTCAGAGAACACATGAAGTTACATAAATTAGAAACTAACTTTGTGTCAAACTCAATTTTAAATGGGCTATGTATAGAATAGATCAAAGAGAACGTATTATAATTTGTTAAAGGTAGTTTTTCTTTCCCTTTCCTTTGTGTGTCAGTATAGTTTACTGATATAAAAGCTGCATTGTGTTTTACTTTTAAAAATAATTTTCATTTATATCAAGCAGCTCTATGTCCAAAACAGGGACTAGGCATAGTGGCTCCTTCGCCATTTTGCAGTGAGGCAGCTGAAGAACAACACAAGGAAGGTCATGCAGTGGTCCCCTTTAACTTTGAGCCTTATAACCTCAATTAATTGTATGTTCTTTTATATCTTATATATTTAAAATTTTACAAAATGTGTGTGACATAAGGTAAAGGCATGGAGAATTAACGTTATTCATTCTCAAGAGGTAAACCACCACTCACCCATGGGCCAATTGTCATACACGTGCTTTGCAATGTCAGAAGCAGAATCGTTTGGAGAAAACAGGAACTCTTTTGTCTTCCCGCTTACCAAGATGAGGCGCAAATTGATCTGAAAGAAGACAATGATGCTTTTAATATAAACCTTGAAATTTTAAAGAAAACAGTGACTCAGTTTTTCATTTTAATCACATTCTAAGTTATTACTAATACTATTTTCTCATTTTTATTTAAGCGTTGCAAAATTTTTTCTAGAGAATGGGAATTTGATATATAATTTCATTTCTAATATTGAATATATGAGGGGGAGTATATTTGCCACAATAAATGAACAAAGGAAAACCAAAAATCATCATGCTTTTAAATTTACTCCAACAATGTCCAGAGTTGGACTTTTACAGGTTATCACTATTACTACAGAATGCATATTTTCCATTGAAAAACAAAAGTGATGAGGCTGCACATCACTAAGCGGAGGAAAAAAAATGTAGTTGATAATCCACTGTTTAGAAAAAATAAAGAGAAAACAATAAATTATATAAAACTTTTTATCCTATATAATTATTCAAACCTAAACAAACTAAGTAGGAACTATAATTTTAAAGAACTTTATTATGGTTAATAGAAGAATCAATGATAATAGTTACTTAGTCCCAAATGCAAGAGGGTATATTTTCTTGGGAGAGGGAGGAGCTATGTATGACAAAGAACACAGATTCTCAGTGAAAAACCTATGGTGAATAATATAATTAAATTTTTTGAGATCCACTAGATTTACATTTCTCACTACATACATATTTGCTTATATGCCATTCTTAACTTTTTAATTCTTATCTTTATCCATAATTAACTTGATATTATTTTTTAAAAGCCACAACATCCATTCATTTCCCTATAAGTTACAGAAATACAAGCACGGTTCTCTGCACTTCTGGCCCTCTGTTAAGAGAGAAAAGAAGACTTAAAAGTGGGTCTGGTCCAGAGTCCTGGGACTAGCCCAGACTCTATATATAAAGAACAGAGAATGTCATTGTGCCAGTTTGAACTGTGCCAGGTCCCAGGTTACCCCAGCTCTCATCTTCAGTTACCAATATCTTTTTTCTTATTAAAAAATACAGGAAGTCAGTGGGATGGCAAAGGCGCAGTGAGGAGATGGTGCCTGCTGCTGCACCATCGAGACCCGGGCCCTGGGCCCAACCACCACCTCGCCAGCGCCTCACCACTTTGAAAATGTGTTGAAAGCTATAAAATATCTCATCTAGAAAAAGGCTACATACAAACAATTCTACATTCAATGGGATGTGACTGGATTCCATATCAGATGAAGTAGAACTGCATTCTGTATTAGAAAATGTATTTTAATATACATTCTATTCACTTAAAAAATTTTAAAAGTTAAAAAAAGAAGTCTATATTCCAGGTGAAAAGTTCTTTATATATGTCCAGTAAGAATTTCTTTCTGCCTTTCCTAACTAGAATGAAATTAGACAAAAGAGCTTAACACAGGAAGCAAACTGATGAAATCACCCTGCTATAAACAAGTGACATGATCCAGAAACTCTGTAAATTCCACTTAAACTAAATTCAAGTAGTGGTTTGCCAAAATGATTAAATTGTAAGAAATCACCATGTTATTTATTTCCTATAATAAACAAGTAATGAGTAATTCTTAAAGCAAGGAGCCCAACATCAATATGATGTGAACTTGAGTTCTAACAGATACATCACTGTTCATGGCTGTCTCTTTATGTGTAAATACTGATACACATATATTATGCTCTGAACTTAAATGGAATCTTCTAAAGGCTTCAAACTACTGTATAAGGGCCCTTTAGTCATTAATGCCCAAGAAATTATGACTCTCAAAATGATTCAGCCAAATATGTTTGTTTAACCAGAAAGAAATATAACTAAATTCAAGCTTCCTAAAGTTATGTAAATGATATAAACCTATTATTTCTTTGAATAAACTTTTAAGTTTACAATAAATTTCTTTTTGGCTTTTATTCAAATTATATTTAAAAATAACGAAGACAAATTACTTAATCCTTAGAATCTGCATTTGTGACATCAAAGAATATTTTAGATTTTCTCATATCCATCAATATGGAAATGGAAAATAAATGACCATACATTCCTTACAATGGAAATTGTCAAAGTTGTTAAATGACATGAAATATATACAGATCTATATGATTTGACATAGAAAGATGTCTACAATATAATGAACAAAACAAAACGCATATACATCACCCCATCAATATGTAACACTAACCAGGTTTGGGTTCATACTGCCAAGTTCTCAGTATTTCCTACTTTTTGTTTGTTTTTTTTTTTAATCCTCACCCGAGGACATTTTTCGATATTTTGTTCAGATAGAGTGGGAGGGTGAGAGAGAGAGAGAGAAACATCGACGTGAAGGGGACACGTGGAGTGGTTGCCACCCACACGACCCAACCAGGGCCGGGGACAAACTGCAACTGAGGTACGTGCCCTTAGCGGAAACTGAACCCGGGTCTCTCTGGACCGCAGGCCGATGCTCTAACCGCTGAGCCAAACTGGCCAGGGGCAGTATTTCCTATTTTAAAAGAGGTACACATCACTGCCACCAATAAACTGATATTTCACTTTCATATTTGAAAATCAATGGTCTCAAGAATTTGTTTATCTAAATGTTCAGAATATTGGAAACTTCAGGGCTCTAACTGAGCCCATGGTCTGAGAGGTCCCGGTTCGATTCCCAGTCAGGGTACACGCCCAGGTTTCTGGCTCGATCCCTAGTAAGAGGCGTGCAGGAGGTAGCTGATCTATGTTTCTCTCTCACATTGATGTTTCTATCTCTCTCTCTCTCAAAAAATCAATAAAAACATATCAAAAAATGTTTACAGGTGGGCATGAACATTTTAATTTGACACAGACCCTAACAATCCCTACTTAATTACACTGGTCTGCTTCATATACCTGCAGGGCCCCAGAAAACATTTGAGTTTGTAACTTGTGGCAGTTTGAAAATGGCTCTGGGCTACAGAACGAGAACAGAAAGCAGGGTGAAAATTTAAAATATACTTAGAGGAAACCTGATTGCCCCTGTGACGGGGAAAAAGGGAACTATGACAATGCAAGAGTAAGCCCGTAAATACATAAGTCTAAGAAATGACCAAATCTTACAGTCAAAATTACCTAAAAACTGATAATACCAGATAAAGACTGCTTTAGGAAATAAGCTTATGTCCAAAATTTAAAGTAACAGCAATAAACCCACAAAATTAAGTTGATGAGTGAAGTAACACATTGCCTGGAACATAGTAGTTGTTCAACCAATATTTGTTGACTAACTAATATTTCAGTTTCTTTAGTTTCAAGATGCAAGTGGAAATGTGAACTGGAAAGATCAGCACTAAGATTCAAATCCAGACTTCAGCATTCTGGGCATTTTATCAAACTGCCAGTGCATTATGTAGAATGGGAATGGATAACAGTAACCTCTTGGTAGTGATATAGAGATGTAGATATAGTTTCAACTGTGAGCTAGTTTCCTTTAAAAGATTATGTACCAATTATTTAAATATTTATTAATAATAAAGACCTTTATACTTCTTTGAAGCCAAGCTAAGTCAATCTATAAAATACCTTAAAAGAACCTCTGCTTGTGAGGTAGTGGGATTCTCAACATATCACCAATGAGTTAGAAACAAGACTCCTATTCACAGCTTAAAATATGCCATACTACATACATACTTGTCTAAATATAAAACTTTTATCAAGACTCTGGATGACCTGATGTGAGATGGCGCTCCTATTACGTAATAAAATTCCCAAAGGATAGCATTTAGATCATTCAAATGAATTATATATTTTATAATTACCTTTGAGGCAAAACAAACAAACAAAAAAATGACTATTAGTGAGGCAGAACAACAATGATCGTTTTCAGTCAAATTGATTATGTCAATTTGGAGAAATCTCATCTAGAACTTAATTCAACAGCAATTTGTTTCCAATTGGTCAGGATAAAAAGAAAAAGAAAGGAGAAAGAGGGAATGAAAGATGGACTTAACTGGAATGGTCTTTTGATGTAAAACAGACAATTATGGTGATGGACCATATCCTCTAAAAGAAATATGACTATTTTCTACCAAGAGATCAACATGTAGATCAGAAAAGGAAATCCCAATTTCTCTGAGAGTCTCTCTCTAAATAACATGAGTAATGGGGTACTCTACCTCACATTCTGGGGAAGCACCTTTGCCTTCATAGTGTCAATTCAAACCCTTTTTGCTAAAGGCCATCCTTGTGCTGGAACTGTCCTGTGTCTTACTGTGATGAGTAGGCACATGAATCTGCACATGTGATAAAACTGCATAGAACTAAATGCACACAGACACAAATCTGTGCATGAAAACAAGAGAAATATGAATAAAGTCTGTGGATTTTATCAGTGCCAATTTACTGTTGGGATATTATACCACAGTTATGTAAGAAGTTAGGGAAAACTGGGTAAGGGTATATGAAATTTTTCTCTACTATTTCCTTCCTACAAAGGCATGTGAATCTATAATTACCTCAAAATAAACAGATTTTTTTTTTTTAAAGCAAGCATTCAACTTGCTAAAAGTTTATATGGTACTATATGCCTGTCTTTATTTACTTGTCTTATTTGCATTTGAAGATAAATAGCTCTTTTTAATTTTTTTTTATTTATTCTTTTATCCTCACCCGAGGACATTTTTCTATTTTTGTTCAGATAGAGTGGGAAGGAGAACGAGAGAGAGAGGGAGAAACATCAACGTAAAAGGGACACATCGAGTGGCCGCCTCCTGCATGACCCCAGCCAGGGCTGGGGACAAATGGCAACCGAGGTACGTGCCCCCGACCAGAATGGAACCTGCGACTTACTGGTCCGCAGGCTGACGCTCTAACTACTGAGCCAAACTGGCCAGGGCAATAAATAGTTCTTTTAAAAATAATGAATTAGCCCTGGCCGGTTTGGCTCAGCGGTTAGAGCGTCCGCCTGCGGTCCGGAGAGACCCGGGTTCGGTTCCCGCTAAGGGCATGTACCTCGGTTGCAGTTTGTCCCCGGCCCTGGTTGGTCGTGCGGGTGGCAGCCACTCG